AACAGTTGCATTGTCACTTAGGGCTTTATATCGCAAAGATCCGAAGGGCATTGCTACTGCGCCTGTCACCCTGAGACACAAAATTAATGTAATTTCACCTGCACCCATACCCTTCAAAACCGGAACACAGTAATATTCATATTACTACTTGGTGGTGGCAGTACTTCCCTCGACGAACTATTTCACAAGGAGCTTAAAGCGTGAAACACACAGAGAGCGGGTGCGGGTCGGGTCGGGACCGCAGCGGGTCTAATTCCGTGTATTTATACGGACGACTCGCGCCCGACTCGCACTCGCTCCTTGCGTATTTCCCGTTTTACTGCTACTAAAAATGAGTCGCGAATGTGCTTGTTTGCAAAAGGCTCGCGAAGTGCACATGTGGTGCGAGGCGGAGCGAGTCTTGCGGGAGATGTGATAATTGCACATTTTCACATCTCCCGCAATAATTGCACAAAATTGCGCATTTGTTAGATCTTTTTGCATCAGTGCTTCAGCCAACAACAATGTATAAATGTATTATTTGAATTTAATGTAGTCGAGGGAAACTAAATATTATAAAATTAACAAAAATACAGTAAAAAAATGTAAGTTGTGTCTGAGCAACGAAGAAAAAACATTCTGTAGTTCCATGACTATAAAAACTTTGTAAATGTAAATTGAAATTGGTGTAAAAATTAATAGTAACATTTCTGTCACCTGGGTTTACAAGGGTTAATATAAGTATGGTATTTTCAATTGCTGAGCACCAATTAAAAGTATTTTCAATTACTAAATCGTGGGCAGATGTTTCTGTTTATGATCGATTTCTTTTCTGCGTATAAATGCTACACAAACGTATACGCACACACCCACACACATATACACGCACATGAATAAAAACAACATAGGGAAAAATCTAAAATACTGAACAATAATTTAAAATACAACTCACGAGGCACCAATTACAAGAAATCTCCTTCCCGGGAACTACAGAACTTAATCTCAAATAACATTTAAAGTAAATGGAAAGATAATGCTCGAAAGACAACCTGCTCCTTTATAAGTACGTTTCGAGGAACGACAGTTTATTTCTATTTGACTTAAGGGTTTGTAAAATTACTTTTTCAACTTATTCGTAACTTTCAGGCTTTTACGCTTGTTAAAAGAGTTTTCAGAATAAAATAACTTTACGTTACTTGAAGTATACATTTCAACAATGTTATATCTCTGAAGACGAGAATTTATTTTAGTCTTGTACCAGCGCAATGGAATTCCGCTACCTAGAATACTCAGATTAGAAAAAGTTCGTTCCTTAAAATTGGTCCTTCCGAGAATCGAATCTGAGACTTCCAAGTCCAGTGCCCACAGCGCAAAATTACATACTGAAACTTAATCTGACGCATGATTGGTAAAGTCAGTGGGGGTTGATACGATTAATTTTAGCAAAACAACACAAAAAAACAAAAAAAAACAAGCAGGCCAGAAAAAACTTTATGTCCACGTAATAAGAGGGAAAATTGTCGCGTCGCCGGTCCGAGCGGAAGCGTCACGAGCAATACCTTTTTCGCTCTTATGTCCATGTACACACATCAAACTACACATAGACGTATCTTGTTCCTTTGCACTTCAGGCGATTTTCGAACAAAAATGTGTAGTCTGATGTGCCGTTGTCCGTATATAGATTAGATCGGTTCAATCCGTTTTTTAATAAGTGTGGTGTTTTCCTTTCTCTAATTCCGGATTTCTGAATGCATGTAATTATTTTATATCTCAACGATTTTCAATTCTATTTACACTAAAATCAATTAATTGATGTCATTTTATAATACTATTGAAAAATTTCGTTCAACATTCAATACATTTAATACTTCGCAAGTACCTTATCAAGGTTTTAGTTTTAACTATATTTGGAGTCAGTAATGTAAAGTTTGGTTAAATAAAAATTAGAACGAAAATACATATTTGTGAATTGTAGGCATAAGGGACTAGTTAACTTATGACTCAGGGTGACAGGCGTAGTAGCAGTGCCCCTTAGATCTTTGTGATTTAAAGATCTGAGTGGCACTGCAACTGTTATGGCCAGGTGTCGTTTACCACCAGGCTCACGATTTCTTCATCTCGTCGCTTAATGTCATAAAAAAAAATTAAAATACATAAAACTATTAGGTGCTTTGGACAAAACCTTCAGTTTCTGATAAAACCTTTTCCATGATAACTAGGTCGTGTCAAAGTCGCTGGTGAAAACAGGTATCCTTCTATGATTTTATTGATTAATTCTCATGATTACTGTATGAAATAAAAATACAAAAACACAGCTTTCACAATTACATTTTATTACAGATAAATATACAAATATTAATTTTAAATTTACAACTCTCAAATCACATCCAAACACGTATTTTCACAAAGCTTTACACAAAAACGCTAAAGTGCTTACTTGCAAAATGGGAAAATATTTATTGAATATCTTCTCATTATATATAAAGTTTAATATACGTACTTTCGTTATAATTACAGAAATTTACAATCGCACATATAAAATTTCACACAAAGATACAGGTTGTAGATTTTAAATACTCGTCACTTACACGTGACGGGTATTTAAATCTCGTTAATTTTATAAATGCTAAAATTTTGATGGAATTTTGGTACCCATTTGTTAATGAGTGACAAATCTGTTCACTGCGCTGTAGCGTCATGATTTGCATACACACACAGACTCTGTGCTGAGTGATATTCAACAAAGAAAAGTTTCAAAATGGCCACCGTAAAGATATAACGATTTTCCGCGAAAAATGTCAGACAATAAAGCCATTGAACAAAAATTACGAAAAAAATATCAGAAAATTAAGCTATTGAACAAAAGTTACGAAAAAATGTGAGAAAGTTAAACTATTGAACAAAAATTACGAAAAATTATCAGGAAATTAAACTATTGAAGAAAAGTTACAATCCAAGATCTGACAGTATAGCCAATTAGACGCCTGTTCTGACGGACGAAAAATTTTAGTACTCAACAAAAAAAAAAATACAACATGGTTTGATCAATTGGTCAGCAACAAGTCCATAACACGTACCTAAGTCACGTGTAGCGAATTTACAGTCATGTTTGAAATGTTGTACCCATTATTTGTGAATCTCGGCTATTATTTTGGCACATTATTCAATGAAGCCAGTGCGTATTTTGTACGGTAATTGAATTTAAATTTCGCTACCTATATTCATCCTTCGGCACAGGCTAAGACGTCTAATTGGCCACATTGACAGATCTTAGACTATAATTTCAAAATCTTCATTAGTTTAATTTTGTGAAATTTTTTTGGCGGGTGGCCATTCTGAAACTCCACTACATATGGCCTACTCTCGTTTTTCAAAAGTGTACACGGAGTCCCCAGCTATAAATCCACATCCTTCATACATCCATTTAATGTAAACGCAATTTAACAAAGATGTAAATAAACAACATCTATAATGTAAATATTACGATATGCTATGTTTTTATGATACAATTAGCGCTTTGTTTCCCAATTTCTTCTTGTTACATATTTATACTTATATTACCAGAGTCACAATAAAGCATAATTTTATACCTTTGGCAACGTTAAACATGATTACTAGTATAATATCTTATAAAATAGTTGTATTTAAAACTACTTATTTACATTTTCTTTCTTAAAAACTATTTTAGATTTCTATTGGATATTTTAATCATAACCGTCTAGAGATAAAACCAATTCATATTACAGTTCATTTATTCCATTTGTAATTCCAGTTTCATTTCTTAAGGTCCCTTCAAATTAGATGCTTGTAGAAGCGCTGCAGTAGCGCGACTTTAGCGATTCAGCAAGGCTGCTAAAAGATTGATTACATGTTTGCAGTTCATACGTATCGTATTCAAAATCGTAATCAACTTCATGCAGTCGAGGTGTCGGATAACAAATTCACGCATTAACTGTAAACATACAGTTATGCTGGTGAAATTACAGGCATAGGACTTGTCACTTTATGTCTCAGATCTTTGCTTGCTTGCGATTTATGAAAGCTCTGAGTGGCACTGCAACTGTTATGGACAGGCGTATAGCTTACCATCAGGTGCACAACTAGTTCGTCCCAACACTTGATATTATAAACCAAAAAAAAGTTAATCTGTTAGCACTGTAACTGTGATTGCAAAAGCGGCACGCGTGTCACGACAGTGGCGTTGCAATTGTGCTTCTAAACAGTGTATGAAAATTAGTAGCGGTGTAGATACTGCGCCACTGCAGCGCTTCTATCAGTGCCTAATTTGAAGGCGTCCTTAATTTATTTGCTCAATTAAATAATTTATTTACCCAAGCGGATTTGGTAAGTTAAACTAGCTTTGATTGCGAAGTCAGTTTTGATGAATTATCAGATATGAACAAAAACTATTTTGCTGTTAATTAACATTTAATTTAATTTTCGATAAGACATTGCTGTGTCAGTCAGCTTTCGCGTCACCTAGATAGAGATTTATGATGTTTCTAAAGCCTAATATATTGGTATTTCCAGTTACGTTATGACTGCCATTTAGTAATGGTAGTCATAATTTACTCTAACACTTAGTTAATAAATAATATTTTTAGTACGTATAAATAACTTACATTCGATGCGTTAAGTCATGCAATAAGTATTTTATTTACAATCGTATAGCTCATAAGTTCTATGCGACTTTAATAGTAATTTTGTATATTCTTACTTAATTCTTTTAGATTTTTTTATAAAATAATAAATACACTTCAAATGCAACGATTTGAGAGAAGTACAATATTTTGTTATAACCTATTATAGATAAATCCATTGGGTATAATAGTTTTAACAATAATACATAATTATAATATACAAAAATTCACAAAGAAACATCTTTCGATCCGGCGCTCTCCCAATTGGGCTATGGAAGGAATTTTTCTTGTATTCGATCTTTGTATTAATAATTATAAGAAAGTAGTGGAGTAATTTGAAAAAAAAAAAAAAAAAAAAAAAAATTTGATATCATGGTAGTAAGACATCGTAAATGAACTTAATATTACAATTATATAAGCACTTTCAATGTTGAGTTTTTATAAATTTTTGCAAGCAAATTCTACTTAATCTAAATATTTTCTCTTTAAACTACTAGAACTATTTTGTGTAACGTCAGACGTTTCTTTTCCGTTCGCAATCAAAAAAGGTCCGTTTAACAGAGATTTTTGTTCATTATCAATGCTGTTTTGATAATTGTTAATCTCGTTATGTACAATAGGAGAGTTATGAAGATTTTGTTCGAAATTAGAGTCCGAAGTTCGAAGCGCGAAGTTAGAAATCGAAGTCGAAGGGAAGTCGAAGGCGGGAGAGGTAAAAGAAGCTTCTTGCGAAACGTCCTCCTCGGGAAGGGTGCGCAGGCGCGTTAGCCTCCCCCGCCCCTCGCCTCAGACCGGAGATTGATCACCGCTTGCACTGCCGCTGGTTATGTAGTCCTGTTACAAAAGATATCTTTTTAATGATGTCGATTTAAATTTAATATGTGAGAAACTTATTTTGTAAGGTTTTTCTATCTTGATCTACATGATTATAGAAAACTAAAGTTAAAATTTTATGTCCATTGTTAATTGCCAAGATTGTATTAGGTTAGGTTACTTAGTTAGTTTTACTTTATCGAAACATTATTTTATTTTGAATAGTAAGTAATACTGTATTCAAAGCCTTTTAAAAGTTGCTTACCTCGTTTGGGAATCGAACCGACCAAGTGTGAATAAAAGCTTCCTGTAGTTTTATAATGTCGATTGAAAGGTTCAATGATAAAGATTAATTTCTTTTAAGTAATATAGAATCGTAAGGGAAAGGATTTTTTTTTGAGGTTATATTTTTTTTAAAAGTAAGTAACTTTTATATTAAGTTACTTACTATATACGAGTATATATGTATATGCGATTTATCTTTAAAGGGCTAGAATAGAAAAATATTGTTACCTTCGAAGAAAAAGTTTTCTCCGTTTTAGTATACCAGTTTTAAAGTTGCATAATAGCATTTTTGAGCAACCAACCAAGTTTAAGCTAACCATTTATTCCTTCACTTATTATTATGAAATCGTACTTACAGCGTGCAAATGCCTTCCATCAAGGTGTGGTGCTAGCGAATGGCGCGGAACTAGCAACGTGGTGGTCGTCGTCTCCGATGCAGCTGATTCCCTCTTCGAAGGATGGTGGTATAACCTGGTACAACCTTACATTTTGACATTGTAACTGTTGCCTTATATGGAACTACAGAATGACCTGGTGTATAAAAAGTGTTAAAGTTTCCCGGTTTTAATTTTCGTTAATTTAAAAACATAGGTTTCCAAACTTTTTGGCTTACCGCCCCCAAAGGCAAGATAACAATTTTCAACGGCTACCACCACAAAAAATTATTGAAAACACGAATTTTTGTATTGACTTAACACAGAAAATGACAAGGAAAACATATTAAATACATGTAGTGTAGTTTATACTATAGACAGTTCAGGTTTTTTTTTCATATGCGGTCACACCCACTGGACAGCATCAATGCCTCCCAATAGTTTCCGAGACCCCTAAGACTCTTCAGCGTTCACTGGGGGGCGGTAGGGATCACTTTGGGAAACTATGTTTTAAAGTAAAGAATCGTTATAATGTCTTGGTTGCGTATTTAAAGTCGTATCGTAGAGATATATATTAAAAGCTATATTTATGGAAGCAAGGATATCTACCAAACATTTATTTATTTTGTGTTAAGCATAATGTAAGTGTACTACTACTATTGTAGCTGTAATTATATAGTGTGGAACTGCGTCCTAAGCCGAACGGTTACAAGGCTGACTAGCCTTGCTACGAGCAGACTTGCTACGGAGGGGTCCCGGGTTCGATTCCAACATTTATATTTCTCGTGAGTTTGGGTGTAATTTATGGTTGTCTGCGTATGTGTCGCAGGGTTCCCTTAGTGTGGGGCTTTGTACTCCCTGTAGTATGAGTACCAGAACAACGGAATTCACTCCGGGGCACTTCCCAGAACACCCAGACCAATCAATTAGATTTTAGATTTATCAATTTAGAAAAGATCATTTTCCCAAATTGGTTTTACTGGAATTTGAACCCGGGACCACCGCATCCAGTGTCCACATTACAAATCGTTGAGACACCGGGTCGTCAACAGATGTTATGCAGGAAAACTCTACTTCAAATGTAACGTGCCCTGATTTTGAAACTAGTTTGTATAGAAGCTAAAAGTGGGTTGCTAAGCAAAAGCATGCTAACAGGTAACCTTATTTATTAATGCTAAAATGATCATTGACCACTTCTTAATTAGATGTGAATGTTACAATATCCACTATTCCAACTTAATTTTTGTCGAGTAAGTGATGTGTGATATGATAACAAACTTGAAATGCTTCATACACGGTTCTAATGTTTATAGTTAATAATAATAACGTACACACTCAACATAGCCCCGCACTAGGGAAACCCTGTGTCACGGGTGCAAAACACACACACATAGATAACCACAAATTACACCCAAACTCACGAGAGAAATAAATGTAAGCCATACAAGTATTTCTCCCAGCCCGGGAATCGAACCTGGGATCTCTGCGTGGCAGTCTGGCGTGGTAACCGTTCGGCCACCGAGACAGTGAATAAATCTTACGAATGAAAGTAAAATGTAACAGTGAGTAATAAATAACTGTATTAAGAAGTCGGTAAGTATGTCACGTACGGTAGAGAGATGAGACAGAAAGTCCAAAAGTTTTGTAATTTCCTGGATCTTGAGACCTTTTTGTGTATATAATGGAATGAGTTGTATTAAATTTCATAAAAGTTTAACAAGATTGTTGATTAACATGCATGCAAATGCTAAATATATATTTATCACCACGCTACATAGTAATAATGTTTGGCATTACATTCCATACAACTCGCTTGAAAACGGTACTAAATATTCTAATAAAATATAGCAGAAACATAAGTCTAATAAATAGTACGAGTTATTAATACAAAATAAAGACGGGCGCTGTTATTCCATTTGAAAGAATTGAAGTCGATTGAAATTAGCCACTGTACTCGTCATTACCCTATGTAAATATAAATATCACTACGGCGGAATATCTATCTACCACAGCGGAGAAGAGAATAGCACCGTTTAATTTAGTAATTTCCACTTTGACATCTCTACATTGCTTAGTCAAAATATTTTTCGCTCTACTTTGATAGAGAACGGGTGCCAATAAAAGTCTCGGATCCACTTATTAGGCCTTCAAATTAGACGCTTGAAGAAGCGCTGCAGTAGCGCCACTACTAATTTTATACAATATATAATAGCGCACACTTTTGCAGTCACAATAAGTGACTAAAATTAAAAAGCTAGAAATTACTAAAGCGCCACAGACGCGCGGCTACCGCGCTACAATCGCGAGACTACAGCGCTTCTACAAGAGTCTAATTTGGAGACGCTTTTATAAATGTAGCAAATTATGATTTAAAATAAATCAAGAAGCCCGTATGGGTAAAAGGTAAAAAGAATAACAAGTTAAAAAGCGGATTAAACATTTATTGGTAACAAAGTAACAAAAAAAAAACATTAAAATCCAAATCCACATTATGTCTTATTCCTTGTAATAAATTCTTCGTAAATGCAAATAATTCCTTCTTCCCTTGTTAGGCTTCCAGGTTTCTTCATACTGTGAGCCTAATGGACAAATTTTTGAGATTATTAAATAAAATATATAAAACAGGACTTTTATTATCCTGATTAAATATGGATTTGGAAAGAGAGACAAAATTATTTTATAACTTTTTTGCAAGTTGTCGTTTTGGAAAGCGGAATATATACGAAAAAGAGTACTTTCTGCCTTCATTCTTCGTTAGTATAAATTAAATTTAATCAAAGTAAATTTCGATTCATCAACAATACAAGCAAGTTATAAAATTAGGTGAACACGCATGAGTTATGTACAACTATTGTGCTCTATTATCACATGGCGTGAAGCTTTTTAAATAGTTTAAAGTCGTGCATTGATATATAAAATTGTAGAACCATTTTAAGTACATTATTTCACCTTAATCACCGCGTTATTGGAGAATTTAAAACACAATTTTTCCCCGCTGCTATTAAGTAGAGTGTGACCAGGAAAGTGACGTAATGACATCCTTTTTGTTATTTTCGATTCCTGCATGCTCGTTGCCGTCAACCATTGCAAGACTTTGTCGCGAATTAATTATTTATTAGTATTTACACAATTGCAAATTAATAAATGTCAAAAAAATTTACAATTACGAAAAGACTTTGTACTAGTATTAAATAACGTTGTGGGTAAAAGAGAGAAAAGTGTCATATGATCTCGCCCTGAATCTGAGCGAAGCCATAACAAACTTGAATAAGTTTAAGAAAGTTCTCAAGGGTGTCTTACTATGTATTTATTTGTTGTTCAGGCTTCAGCGTTATATGAAGCAGTATGTAATATATACCAGTACATAATCTTTATAATGTATGGCAATGGTTTGGCTAAGTAAAATATATCAAGAAATATTTTGTGCTTCTAAATATAAATAAATTTCGTCCCGTTTACAATTTGTGTGCTTATTTAAAAATACGGTGTCAGTAAATAAGATTCTCTTCATATGGGCACCGCATAGTACTTTAAAACATATTATTTGTGAGTACATACGAAATAACAGGTATATTTTAAGGTGCAATAAAGAATATTTCATTCATTCATTCATTATTTTCGAAGAGTTTGTATTTTTTTGAGGACCGATCGTAAAGCATGCAGTTAGACAATTGAGTGGTGGTTGCGGTGCCAAAATTGGTAAATAAAAGTTCTATAAAAATACTATTTATACAATGAAGTGTTACTAACAGAAAATTTACACTAATGACATGCAGTTTTATTAGGCTTATGTGCTATTTTTCCTTAAAAAGCGACCATCTGTACTTTGTGTCACACAGATACCGGACAAACTGACAATGATCAATACTAATGAAATTAAAAGTTAATAAAAAAAAAATTCAATTAAAATAATATACGTAGTGCCAAAAGTAATATACTAGTGTCAATTTAATAGTGTCATTGTAGCTTGGTATTTACAAAAAAACCGAATGTGTGACAAATGTTACAGATTACTTCAATAAAGTTGTAAAATTAGTCTATCAAGTACGCCAATGATTCATCAGTCTTTCTTCATACCGTATGCTTTCAGTTCTGGACCGCGGAGACCAGTCTTTAGAATACGACGCGCCTCGCCTTCGTCCGCCACCAATAGTTCGTCCGGTCTTCCATCGTTCCACATGGTACCTGATCGCGTGGCGAACTTCTGTGTTCATGAAGCAGTAGAAAAGAGCTACTGTGAAGCCCTGATGGAAAAACAAATTTTTTTGAGATATTGTTTATTGACAGAATTGATTAGTGACAAATTACATACTCGGCTATTTATACAATGCTTACGACCGCACTGGACCATATCACAAACATCATAAACCACAACCTTTGTTCCATGAGTTTTTACAAAACATAATAAACTTACCAAAAATAAACTTTTCAGTTTTTGTTGTACTACTATCTGACACTTTTTAAATTTGGACTGGACTGTAGGAAGTAGTAATTAAACGTACATGTCGCACTGCTATTACAATAGTGTTGTAAATCAAAATATGCGAATTTCAAGATTATAAAATTGCTGAACGTAAAAGTTGATTCTCTACACGTCAATAAAACCGTCGTTAAAATATTGTAAGAAACAACAAAAAGATATCTACTTAACTCAAAATGAGACAAAGTTTGTGAGTTACTCCTGGCCAAAACAGTCCTTGTTAAAAAACATGAAATTATTTTTTCCCTTTTAATTATAAGTATATTTGGCAAGTACGAAATTGTTTAGATATCTGTAATAAACTTTAACTTATACATAAATTTCAATGATTTTTCTTCGGGGTCCTGAAAAAATACACTTTTTGAGTTAATACACTATAGTATTAACTGTTGGCAGCAGCAACATTAATGTAATTTTGTATCATGGCAACATTGTCGAGGCAAGTCTTTGGTACAATTAACGGGTAGCGTGTGCTCTTGTAATTGAAAATATTAACATTAAAATTTAGTGGTTTCAAACGGAGTGTTTTCTTTTCCAATCATCACCAGCGTCTCAAGCTCTTCACAAACATTATCAGTGCGATTGTATAGCAACGGTTTCTGCTTTCATGAAAATAATTTTGGTGGTGCGTACTTTCTTTTGCCATCGAATTTTAATTTTTGTACGAAAGAAAATCTGATGAAATGTTAAAAGTCACGGAACAAAAGTTGTTGTTTAATATATCAATAATATTGCTACAAGGTTGTTAGTATTTTATAAATAACCCTGTATATTTTCAAAGCGTGACTCCCCTAACTCTTCGATCTAACTTACGCCTCAAGCTAACTTCCCTTAAAGTTTATACTTCAACACCAAGCTGAGTTAAATACTGTATCGAAGCAAATGAAGCTCTATCTATGCAAGCGTCAGTTTCACAACTTTCCGAGGGATTATTTTGACTACTTCTACGTTCTCTTGCTAAGAGCATGAAGTAGCTAAGAGTATGACTTCACGCTTTTAGGAATATACTCGTATACTCTTGGAAACATAATTCGATCCTCCTTGCATTTCCAGTATTAAAATTGTTCTAAGTTTAGAAAAAAAATGTTTGGTCTGTCAGAAACTGTAAAAGCATTTTTGAATCTAGTAGACTAAACGTCATATGTCCGTGTTGAAAATTGAATTTTGTAAAACCGGGGAAAACTTTTTCTTCGAGGATAACAATAATTTTGTATTATACGTTGAGTCCAATTGTGTGTCTGGGAGTGTATTTCCAATAAATTTAAAATAAAAAACAAATGAGGCAAAAGTTGAAAGTCCAATACCATCGTATAAGATTTTACTGGTAAAAAAACTGTTGGTTCATGGCTTCTTTAAATAAAAGAAAATCTTCTAGCGTTCTAATATAATTTTTGCCTTACGTTAAGTGTACCTGCACTCGCGCACGATAGGAAAAGTTTCGATCGTTGTAACGCAGACGCGTCCGTAGCACCACAGGTCAATCATAGCGATAAATGCGTTATGTAGCAGTAGAACTCCTATTGAAAGTGTTTGTCGAGGGAAGTACTGTCACCTTACCTATTTCTGCCGCCAAACAGTAATGTGAGCATTACTGCGTTCCGATTGGGAATGGTAAGGGTGCTGGTGATATTACAGGCACATGGGAATTGTCAACTTATGTCTCAGGGTGACGGGCGCAGTGGCAGTGTCCCTAAGATCTTTGGGATTCAAATCTCTGAGTGGCATTGCATCTGTTATGGATAGGCGTGTCGCTTACCACCAGGTGCACGACTTGTTCCTCCCGTCACTTTGTATTACAAAAAAAACCTTAATATACAACTTGTTATTACAAAGTTGCAAGTGTTCGTGATGCGGTTTTTTAATACTACATTATTTTTCTTGAGGCGGAGACTAAACGGGACCATTTTAGCGTAACACGTTGCGATGTGAGCATATCTATATATTTATAGATATATAGATACGTTAATTCCAGGTACCGTCGGGTATGGGATGAAGGCACAGTTGTAGACAGGTCCTTGATTAAGGCAAGGGTTTGTAGAGAAGAAATCCAGTCTTGTCGAGAGTCCATGGTTAGTCGTTTGGATTTGACACTGAAGGCAATCTCAAAAACATTATCGAAGTTGCGGGCCGTAGGTGGGTAAGGTTAGAACAGGATCGTTGTGGATAACACAAACTACGGGAGGTCTATTACCCAGCAGTGGATGAAATCGGGCTGTGGATGATGGTGATGATGATAATTCATTTTTCGGCAACGAGTCGTGATATGCATTTAATTTTCAAAAAGTTTTACTAAAATAATTATTTAAAAATAACTTCAATGTAACAACTTTCGACAATATTTGTTAATTAAAACTTCAGAAACATAAAATATGATTTCTCAGTAAAGAGCATTAAAATATGAAATGTAAGGCTCTCAGTGATTTATTAAATCCAACTTTTATCTTAACCAACGACTGGCCATTACTCACGCTGTACACTGCCTATAAATCTTATCTCTGTTTAAAAGTGAAGTCTCGTCAAACTGTTTCTTTTCGAATATCATGGGTAATTCCGTAGTTTTTCGGTCTGTTTTCACACATACGCATTGTAAGACTATATGAGTACATATAAAAGCCTTGTTGACAAATATAAAATTTTTACACGTATAGGCCCCAAATTGTCTGTAATTATACAGATTACCATGGATATATGCCACCATATCTACATATATACCCATAGTGATAAAAGGGCGGGGCCGCTGCATGGCAAACGGATTGTCATTCTGTAATTGGTTAATTATTAATATGAAAAGGGCAGTGCTGTGTGTGGCTGCCGTGATCGTTGGAATCCTGACTGGAATTAAGCGGAGTCTACAATTGCCATTAAATTACGCAGATAAGCTACGCAGCAGTAGTGTCAAAGATGCACAAGGACCTGCTGTATCTGCATTGCAGGTGAAATAAGAAAACTATTGCGAGTGCGTCTTTCACAGGTGAACTAAAGAACAAGAACAATTTTAATAACGACAGTCCACAGACCGAGCTCGCCGACTCGGGCGGGTTCGGTCCCGTCGGTTCGGTTGTTGGCCTTGTTTCTAGAATCATGTCATAGGATTAGATTAGATATGGCTACCCACATCGAGCCGCTAAGTCGCCTGGTTGGCGGATTCGGTCTGTAGACCCCTTAAGATAACGCACACACGCACACACTCAACATAGCCACGCACTAGGGAAACCCTGTGTCGCAGGTGCCATGGACACACACAAAGACAAATTACACCCAAACTCACGAGAGAAATAATTGTAGGCCATACAACTATTTCTCCCGGCCCGGGAATCGAACCTGGGACCTCTGCGTGGCAGTCCGGCATGGCAACCGTTCGGTCACGGAGGCAGTTAAAGATACTGACAAATCCATGTTCATTTCAAACCATTCACGGTTAAATAACTGTGGCTATTTCATTTCAGTGCGCCATCGGATTTGATCGGCTCTAACTTAACGTACCTATCAGTTATATTGCCTGGACGCAAAATATCGATGCAGTTAAGTCCTATCGATTTTGTATACACCACTTGTACATTCGTTAGTCGGTTTAATACGATCTTTATATATATGACTACGTTTCTTCGGAAATATAGATATAGTTTATTATTGATATAAAGATCGACAGAAAGCTGTAGTAACCTGATGGTTTGACTTATCGCCTCTCAAGCAGAACCCGTGGGTTTGAATTCGGGCTCGCACCTCTGAGTTTCTAGGAATTAACTGCGAATTTTACCATGAGCTTTTCGGTGAAAGAAACCTGCATGTCGAAGAAGGTTCACAACCCTCAAAAAATGGGTCGCACTAGGTCAGTGTGGCGGGCTATGTCCTAAATTCTTTCCTGGGAGGAGTCCCGTGTCCAGCAGTGGGTATAAATGGATTGATGATGATGAACATGAGATAAGAAGGTAGCCGCAAATTACATATTTCAATAAAATATAACCTTATCATTAGAAATGTTTCTTACACATGATCTACATTATTGTTTATGAAAATCTAAACTTTCTGTGATCCTTTGGTCATTGTGACTATAAGAGTGGTTAAACACGACGACTTTTAGCAGCGATGCAAACAGACGTTCGTGAAACGCGCTTTTGCATCGCTACATTTGCGATTGATAGGCAATTGCATCGATGCAAACGCGCGACTGCATCGATACAAACGCGTGATGGCATCGATGCAATTGCTTATAAATCACAAGTATAGCAGTGCAATCGCGCGTTTATATCGATGCAGTCGCGCGTTTGCATCGCTGCTTAAATTCGCGCGCATGTGTAAAGGTAGACGATTAGCTACTGTATCGCTACTGGGAATACGACAACGCGCGACTGCATCGATACAAACGCGCGATTTTTAAATTCCTCGGAATGCAAACGCGCGACTGCATCGATATAAACGCGCGAATGCACCGCTGCTTAAAGTCGCGCGTGTGTGTAAAGGTAGACGATTAGCTACTGTATCGCTACTGGGAGTACGACAACGCGCGACTGTATCGATACAAACGCGCGATTGCATCGATGCAATCGCTTACACATCACAAGTATATTGGTGCAATGGCGCGTTTGTATCAATGAAGTCGCGCGTTTGCTTCGCTGCTTAACGTCGCCGTGCGTAACCGCTCTAAGATATATTTTCTTCTTAACGCTTTGAGGAGAAGGTATAACAAAATGGATCACCGTTTTATACCATGCAGTGACAGATTTAAATAGGTTCTTCTCAAAAAAATCGAACAATGTAAAGAAA